AACATACAATAACAGAGATGCATGTAATAATAATGAAGTCATAATTGAAACAGTAAAATGTCTGTGTACTAACCAAGTGTCTCCACAGCCTCCAGGTTTTTGACGACACAGTTCTTTCGAGCCAAACGTTTCGCTGTTAGTGACAAACACACCTGTTGAGGAATCAGTGGGTTACCTTCAAAATAAAATGGTCCAGAAATTTAAGATTTAAATTTATGAGTCTGTCACCTGCTTGTCTCCATGGAGATTATTTTTGGTTTGTCTGGAATGTTCCACAGTATGCTATAGCACTAAACTTATCTATCTCTATGGAGGGAGGCAAGTGGCGAAATTAGGCCAACTCAGACCTGTGGAGGACTGCATGACAGGGATGTAACGATATCCAAATCTCTTGGTACGATATTATCACGATATGAATTTCACAGTACAATATTTATTGCGATATTTTGGAGAGATAAATATAATTGTAGGTAGGACACTTTTTTGCTTTTAAAATACCTGGATAAGATTTTGGTGTGAATTATTTCCATCATAATCCCAAGAATTCAAGTCAAAAACATATATCTACATGTTGTTTGCGCTGAAATGAACCATGGGATATGTAGTTCCCAGTGTTTATTAACTGTTGCTACTACAAAAACAAAGCATTTAAGCAAAGGAACTTGTAATTTGATATATTGTGACAGCCTATGAAATTATTGTGAGACTTTTGACGATACAATATGACGATATTTTGGTTATTGTTATATCCCTGCAATAAAAAAGACTAGATGCCATGCTGTGGAACATTCAAGGCAAAGTTATAACTCCATGGAAAGAAGCATGTGGCTGCCTCCTTACCAAAAAAATGTACATACTTTCAGCACCTTTAAATAAACACTATATATACAGTAGATGTTTTTGGTAATACTCACAGTAACAGTAGCCAGCAGTCCCTCTGGCACATAGGCCACCACAATAGCCATGAAAAAGATCATAGCCTCGAGGAAAGCGTATCCGATGAACATGGCCACAACAAAGAAAGTAAAGCCAAAAAAGATCGCAAGTCCAGCAATGATGTCCACAAAGTGTTCAATTTCTATAGCGATGGGAGTTTTCTCATTCCCCACTCCGCTGGCCAGACTGGCAATCCGACCAATGATGGTGCGGTCCCCAGTGTTAATGATTACACCAGTGGCAACGCCTGAACGCAAGAAAGGTCAAACTTTTGGTATTTTTATTTTCTTTGTTGGTAATCTTTGTATTTTACCTTCTAGACAGGTTGTAGAGAAGAAGGCAATGTTTCGGGTTTCCAGAGGGTTTTCGTGAGTACATTCTGGACTCCTGGTTTGTGGTTCAGATTCTCCAGTCAAAGATGAGTTGTCCACCTGGCACAGATTAACAACATAGAGAGCTGCAGTCACTTTAACATTTTGAGGAAATTGGTGGCTTTTAGAAGAGTTTATTTGCAAAAAACAGGTAAAACAGGTAAAAGCCATTTTTAAAGTCATGAGAAGGCTTGCATTTTACCCTTTGCATAATAATGTTTAATGTTAATTTGCCAAGTGCCAGTGTGCTTTACAATGAACATACCTTGCAGCCTTGAGAAGTGATGATTCTAACATCAGCGGGAACTCTGTCTCCTCCTTTTATCTCCACCAGGTCTCCAACCACCAGCTGGTTTGCGTTGATCTGATTCTTTTGGCCATCGCGGATCACTACGGCTTGCTGTATTTATTTTACACATAAAGTTTGATACAGTCACTTAAGAAAAAAACAAAGGGCCCCCTAAAGTCAGCGATAACCAACCTGTGGTACTAGATTTTTGAAGCTGGCGATGATGTTGGTGCTCTTAAACTCTTGGTAATACCCGAAGCAGCCAGTCACCACCACAACAGCGATCAGGGTGATGGCCAAATACAACTGTTTAAAGTAAAGATAAAGTGCATGTGACAGGTTAAACAAATCATTTCAGTAAACATGTTTAACATACTTTTATTCATAATTTAGTTTTTTGTGTGACATAAGTAGGAGAACGCTATAACTCCTTGAAAACATACAGAACAAAAGGCCCAAAGTTCTAGCCTGATTCATCAGCCGGTTTCCACGAAGTGAACTCGACAGTAGGCAGGTACTTTTTTTTTAAACCAATTGCTGCTATTTGGTTGTGACGTATGTAAAGTGCCGTTAAAGGGGCTAACTTGTATATTAAGCTTTTCCCAAATCCCATAGGAAGAAGGGAAATAACGTTTTTCCCCTTGATAAAATTCACCAAACATTCTCTTTGTTCCGGCTTTAAATCCTCAATCTTGGGAATCGTTGCCAACACAGAATGTATGGCTCTTCCCTGATTGGCTGGTGCCGGGATTCGCACTTCCGGGGTTCTTGCAAATCGTCTAGTGTATTCTGATTCCTGACCTAGTCGTTGAGCAGAGGCACTAGGTGGCGCCATCCTGGCTACCAAAGTTCATCCAATTTACACATATTTATACCATAGTTATTTATTGAAGAACAAAAAATATATGACAACACATGGATTTTATGTGTGAAATCTGGTAGATATAAATGTTCAGATAAAGACAGGCTCACATCGTCAAAGCTGGTCAGGTTTCCTCTTCCGAGTTCAATCCCAAACGCGATGAAGCAGATGACAGCTGCTACCCACATCAGACACTGCAGACCTCCTGCCAGCTGCCGGGCGAACTTCACATACTCCGGGGTACCTTTGGGGGGCTTAAGCTCATTGGGACCATCCCGCTCCAAAACCTGAGTCGCAAAGGTCGTGGTCATGCCCTGTGCAAAGAGAAATGCAGTTGTGGTTATTAGTGTTTGGAAAATTGACAAGAAATATAAGCTTTCGTGGGTTTTACCTTAGTAACACTTGTGTTATATCTCATTTCTAGCTCTTCAATTGTAATTTCATGGTCATCCTAAAAAATAGCCATTCGGGATAAGTTACATGAAGTTATAAAGTGACCATATCCTCTTCTGTTAGTAATATTATGACCATTTAAAAAAACAACACTTACAATGTCCATTTCTTTCTTCATGGTCTCCAGTTTCTCCTTTTTTTTCTGTTTCTTCTTCTTTTTCTTGTCCATCTCCCCATTCATCTCAAACATGTCGTAAGTATCCTACAGTTAAAAAGCAAAGAAAAATGTATCCCCAAAGTAATAATAATAATTACAAACTAGAATAGATCAAAGTTTTTTGTATTTTTAACACATCTGAAATTATATAACAGTAATCTGAGGGGGATAAGATTTTACTTATTGTCAATATAACTTGCCCATGCACTAGAATAAATATAGTTTATACTCAGAATTTCTACCTTTTTCGACATGGTTGCTGGTTTGACTGGCTCTCCTAAATCAATGGAGGTCCAGACTACTCGTTCCTTTTTCCGCCCCGAAATCTTGACTGCAATCCAGTCTCCTCCTTTCTGATTTGAACACAATTTGAGGAACAGGACAAATTTGACGTCCAGTCTTTTATAGCACCTCCTCCCTCTCATTCACCATCAATGTCACCTTTTACACAGGTTATTCACACATGCAGTCTCTTGTATCGTAGCCCTGTGTAGTTTAAAGGCATTTCTTATCACCTCTCTGCACGTTTTTTGTGATAAAGTGATTAGAGCAGAGAACAAAAGAAGGTTATAAACACAACAATGTCACTTCTCAATATTCTACAACCACAGTTCCCAAGTTCTCAAGAATCTAAAGGGTGCAAGTGGATGTATCTATATTAAATATGAAGACTAACAATAAGCTCTGTCCATTGACTATATATTTTTAAACACAATACGCAATAATAATTGTATTTTTACAATGTCATAAAATCAAAATAGCTCAAAACATAGGATTTTCCAATGCCAAAAGGGTTTAAGTAGTTGAATATAATTTGCTCTGTAAATGAGTGCTTCTTATACGAGTGTGGCTTTATTTAGTATTATAAAATATTTTACTATTTTTGAGATTTCTAATAGACAAACAATTGTTCCACACACTTTTTTTTTTTCTTTTTATGAAAAATGCACTTTGATTATGAGTTATTTAGAAAAGGTCATTTCAGAGTGACCACAATGTCACACAAGCCTGTTTGATCCCAGAACTTTCTCAAACTGACTAATTTAAAGAGAGAAATCTATCATCCAAAATGTTAAAACAGTGGAATAACAGAGGGTTTTTATTGTGTGTGAGTTTCTCAGTTGCCCCACCTGTGTCCTGTCCTCCTCCTCACAGCTCTGACAGACACACAGGGGAAGGCATCTCTGTGGTGTCTCAGGACTTCCTTTTGTCTCTGTCCACACTCGGACACAGAGTACCTCCTGGGCCCCATGTACTGAGGAGATCCATCCTCACTGCCAATGTCATGTGTTTAGAGCCCTGTAATCACAATACCCAAACACAAAGGGGGCATTTATTTATTCTCATAATAGTCCATTACACTTTTAATAGATGGAAGGTTATGCTCACCTTCAAGACTTGTACCACAAACCAGTTTCCTGTTGGGTAAATATAAGATAAGAATTCTTAGTGGCCAAGTTAAAGTAAAAGTAAATTAAAGCCGCACTACGTCACATTTATGTCTGCATGGTGCACAAATTATAAAAAATAATCAGAGATCAGTGACGTTAGTTGCCTATCTTCTGATATCATGGATGCCAATTGGCCACTAGTGGGAGGTTAAAATGTTTTGTAAACATAAGGAGAAGTAGACCTTATCCATGGATCTATAATAAGAACTTTTTAAGTTATCTTTTAAGATTTTATTATTCTTCCATGACCTTGTCTGACTCGACTGTTTAGTGGTAAACATTAAGAACACGAGCTTATAAAAGCTTATAAAATCACATTTACAAACAGAACGAGGATTCAATGTAGGGCCAAAGCATAAAAATAATGATTTCTATGTGGCCAAACAAACGACAAACGACAAATTATAAAGAAAAAATCAATTATAATACAAGTTTTTGAAAGCTCCATTTGTAGGTCACGTGATCCCACTTTGAAACTGACGTCATAATCATGCGACTGCGGCTGTCACATAACATGTGAACCGGTTTCTTCAAGAATATCACATATTAAGGTAAAACATTTCTTGATCTAAGGTATTTAATGATTACCGAACAGTAAAAACTAATGAGCGGTGTAGTGTCACTCTCTTAATCTTTGAAAGATGAGTTTAACTTTCTCGTTTCACTGATACGACTGTCGACAAGGTCAGGAATTAACCTGATGTCACCCTAATGACATAAAATATCCCATTTACAGAGAAATATTGATATTCAACATTCAATTCTCCAAATTCTAGTAGGAGCATGATCAATTAGACTTCCACTGTTCCACTTATGTTTTTGTTGCGGGAATGCTAACTTTGTTAGCCTCAATTCTGTCCTTTCATTTTATCTGCCACAACCGCTGGATAATTATAGCCTTTGGCTGCTGGGCAATAGATCTCTGTATTGTGACATTATGTTAAGCTTCTTTACTTGTCAATGTTGTTTAAATAGTTTAACATTTTGTCCTTTTTTAGTTTTGTACTGAGATGGAGAACATCGCCTGTGATCAGTGAGTCCTGTCCTCTTCCGTCTCCGTCTCTGACCTGTGGACATAGTCTGTGGACCTGTGGACATAGTCTGTGGACCTGCGGACATGTCCAGCCGGGTTCTGGTGAGATGTGGGCGCGTGCTGAGCCTGGTGTTGGCTCAGGCTCCTGCAGTCTCCGTGCGCCTGTTGCCCGCTGTGGCGGCGGAGGTGCACAGGTCCCCTCTGTGGGCCACTGCAGGGGGGAGGCTCATGTGTGAGGCAAGGACAGTAAAGAAAGAAGAAAATTTGCCTATTATGCCTGCACGTACCCATCTGGAGGACCTGATGGATCAAGCTGTTGAACCAGAGGACATACTCCAGGCTTGGGAGGAGAATTCAGGAACAGGCAACCAAGCAGGCAGTGCCCTTAAAAGATGGACTCATTTGGTGATTAAAACAAAGGGCAAGTTTAAGGAACAATCCCCTGAGCTGTTGGAAGACCCAAGACTGAAGAATATGATGCAAACTCTGTCTCAGCAGGTACTAGAGCATAAAAATAAGCACATTTCAACCAGTATACTTCATTCATCATAATAAGCTAAAGGCGGGTGATATGGCATACATGAGTTTAATTTTGTTGGTGCTGGGGCACAATTTTTATTATATTCCAATTGATGTGCACTGCCACAATAGTTGTATTGCCTTTTTAAGGTGTAAAAAATGCAATTCAGAAAGTTCACATTTCACTGTAATTGGTTAAATCACTCAGAGCCTTACAGAGGCTAACTAGAAGAAGAGTAGATGGGAAAGGTGCACTGAACAGAGAATTAGTGAATCATGATTGGCTTTGTTGGTCATATAATGTCATATCACCACAATTAGATTTTTTCATCATATTATCCAACCCTAATTAGAGCTGTCTTTCCCCCCTTTATTCTGATGCACAGGTGTCTTTAGTGTGGAACAGCACTCTGGTGTCTGCTTTACAAGCTCTGTGGATTATGAACCTGCCCCCCACGGATCCTGTGCTGAATTCTGTTCAAACCGAGATCCAGTGGCGCATTCGCAGACTCACCTACAAACAGCTGGCTCACCTGATTGACTGGGGTGTTGGGCGGAAAGTACCGCAGGATGTGGCCATAGTCAAAGCTGCTATGAAGCAGCTTGAGCTACGCTGGACTGAGATCTCTGATGTTAAAACTATCAGTACTTTGATGTCTAAAGGGGAGCAGATGGCTCCTACACTTCTGGACAGACTGGAGGATAAGGTCTGTGGAAATGCAGATGGTTTATGTAAGAACATTTATGACGATGCTATAACTTTTGTATGTTGTTAAATGTCTAGGCCTTGGAGTTAGCTGAAGTTTTCTCAACAGAAGATATTCGTAAAGTTTGTTTATCGTTGGCAGCCCAGAGTCGGCGCTCAGTCGCTGTTCTCAGAGCTCTGTCATATCACCTTCTACAGAAATCATCATCAGAGTTCACCACTCAGCTCATGCTGGATATGGCATTTGTATATGGTAAAATGTGCACAAAATATGTACATTTACTAATAATGTAATGTCCCACAAATTGCTAAAGTAGTGTTTATTTTTTCCCTTTTAGGAAAACTGAGCTTCCACCATACTCAGGTGTTTCAGCGCATGGCCTCAGAGCTCTTACCCAGAGTTCCTGAGCTCAACCCTGTTGAAGTCATCCGTCTCACTAAATCCTTTGGTTTCCTCAAATGGCTCCATCTTCCTCTGTTTGAAGCCTTTGTTGAGGTAAGAAACAACCTCTATCTGGTTTTAGTTTAATTGGTTTATAAATGTTATAAAATATATTAACTTTATAAAATTTCCCATTTCAGAATTATATTTCAAACTATGAGAAGTACAATGTTTTGCAACTCTCCAATCTCCTCATGACATTTGCTCGACTTGGTTTCCAGCCAAGTAAAGGAGATGAGTTCTATGCAAAGGTAGAATGTTAAATGTTTTATATTTTAACATTGTTCATTGTTTAATCATTAATCACTAAATCTGCATTCTTATTTTTCACAAAGGTTCACTCATCCCTGGAGGGCAGTCTCTCCACATTTGAGTCTTTCCTGCAGACAGATGTGGCGTGGTCTTTGTGTGTACTACAGCAGACTAAACCACAGTATCTGATCCCTCTATTACAGGAGCAACACATCTCCACTCTTAAAGGTGAGTCACATTGTCCCAGAAAGGCTTATTAAAGAATAGGTCATAAAATGTCATCAACAAATCATATATTAAACATTTAATTCTATATTTTTAAATGATTATCTATTGTGTGCCTAAAGTCTGCAAGAAAATGTTGTATAGCATTAAAACAGTTAAATTAGTCACAAGTTAGTCACATTAGTATAATTTATAGTGATAAAAAGAGTAGACAATAATCATTTGTGGGACATTTTATATAATCGGAGAACTGCCAACAGAGGTAATCTCCATTGTTTCACCAGAATGTGCAGAAAAAAGCTACTTAATGATGATGATTTCCTATAAATCATCATTGTTCTTGCTTATAACAAAGTGCAATACTATAACAGTTGTTTGTAAATATGGAACTTATTCATAATATTATTAAAATTATAATTATTCATATCCATAACAGCATCTTTGATCATTATTGTGATTGCAATTACTTTGTCAAATGATAATTGTGACAGCAAATTTAAATATCGTCCCATGCCTACATTTCAATTCCAATTTTAATTTTGGTTTATTTAAAATCTTTTAATTTAGTTAGTTTAGTTTTCATAGTTTTTTTTTTTAGTTTTAGTATAGTTTTAGTTCAATTTCAGGGATTGAAAACAAATACATTTAACTGATCTAGTCTACACTTGTTCCTCTGTACTTTTAGTCATATTTTTTGTCATCACAAATACTCAGTTTTCATATTAACAAATAAATACTTGTTCTTAAACTAATTGCAGATAGTTCCCCAGCTCGCAGAAATAACTATCGGCTAAAGCTCCTCCATGTTGCTGCCACACTTCAGTTAGAACATCCAGGGTCCTTCAACACAGAATCCTCCCAGAATGCTCTGGATGCCCTTCCACACCAAGGCCCCAGGTCCTCCCTCTCACCTCTACAGACCAGCCTTAGAGACATCCTACACATGCTGGTGGACAGCAAAACAGATGCTCTGCGTGTGGGTGTTGACACAGTCTATGGTTGGACTATTGGTAAGTCTGTTTATGTTTATGTTTTAGTCAGTTTATGATTGACCTGGGTATCGTTAAGAAGTTACCAATATGATACATACGTCGATACATAGACCACGATACAATACCAATCTCATTTCACTGAGCTTTTGATTCGATACAATTCCTTATGATATATTTCAAAACAATTTGATATGGTTCAGTAAAAATACAGGCTAAATCATCACTGTGAAGTCTTTGTTGTCTGTACAAAGGTAATATGAAATACACCAATTTTAGTCATCAAAACAGTGTTAACTGTATTGCATAAACAAGCAATAAAGCAATAAAATTGTAACGCTGTCACAAAATAATATTTAAAAAAAAAACCCTCTTTAAATCAAATTAAACTATATAATATATTGATATTTAAATATTTTTTGCACACCCTTATTTATGATGATGCGTATGTAAACTGCCATGCTGGGGGTGGAGTTTGATTATTGCTTGAAACCTGGATGGACCATCAAAAGAACGACAACAGAAATATCGCGTTATACTTTTTGAGTAATTTACAGTAGTTTTTAATTAGAGATGAGATTCTATTTTAGCATATGTTCAAAACAACAAGTGCGGTATTATCCATGTTTTTATATATCTCCCAACTCTATGTGTTACTAAATTAATACAGTGATTTTCCTTTGATCAGATGGTGAAATAGTTGTGGACAATGACAACAAACCAGTGAACCTGTTGCACTTCAAAGCTCCACATTTATCAAGTGGAGGAGGAGAAGAAACGTTACCTGCTGAAGCACACCGGTGAGTTTGTCATTATTATTCTTATGAACACTAGTTTATTTTATTTTTGTTTTGCTTTTACTTGCACCTTGTAAATAGTTAATGATTATGCATTGAAACATTGGTATGAGTGGTTTGTTATCAGTTACAAGTTTTAGACTTGGACAAACTTTTTGTTCTCAAATGAAACTACTTGGATATAGTAGTAACATTACAGTAATAATAACAAAGAGCGGAAAATAAATAGTAATATTATTATGTACAATATACATGAGGTAGGGTAATGAGATCCAGAGATGTGCAGGTGAAATTGTTGCTTAGATGATCTATTACATTTTTTAATAATTTATGTTTTATAGAATTGCTTTCTTGGCTTGGGAATTTCCAAACTTTTGCTCAAAGAGTAAGGACCTCTTGGGACGATTTGTCATGATGAAGAGACACCTGCAGCTCGCAGGCTTCATCACAGTGGAGGTGAGGTTCCGATAGTAACACTATTAGGGTCAATATTGTGATTTACTGGTCTCATATACATATAGAACAATGTGATAGATGTTTCCTGACATCTTTAATGTGACTCAAATTACTGGAGTTTGTATTATTGGACCACATTAGAGAACTGGGTTTGAACTGTTAATTGCTTACAGCAACAATGCTCGATTTTCATCACTCTGGAACTCATGAAAAAAGCGCTTTTCATACAACAATGCATCATGACCTGACATCACCTGCATTAATTCAGCACATTCAAGTCACTGCCAAATTTTCTCACACTACTTTGCATTTATTTACATAATTTAATATATTCTGCTCTCCACAAATCTTATCAGTATCTTATGAAGTATAAACCTGTAGTTTAGACCTGAACTTCTCAAATTCAGGTCATGCATTCAAGAAACTCATATGTTAATGGACACGTGACACATGTGCATTATGAACTGAATCCAAATTTTAAAATAGATGAACTGATTAACTGATGAATCCTTTATTATACACTTTGTAGAAGTAGTCTTCATTTTCTTGCGTCTCATGTCAGAATTGAGTTTGTTTTTAATTGTCATACCCATGTTATATCCTGTTGTGCGAAAACAACTTTAATATACTGCCTGCTGCCACAGAGATGTTCCAGTGAATGGTGTCTTTGTGAGGCAGAGTGTGGTGTGGTCGGGCCATCCAAACAATGGATATAATTAGAGCTGGGAGTCAGGCAGGTCCCTCTGCAGATAGAGTCCTGCAGCAGTCTCATCTAGGCCAGGCTGAGCTTTCACACACGCCTCTCTTTTCAATGATGTAGTATTGCATTTTTATTAGAGTTTGGGATTGTGTTATTAAACAATAACAAATCTCTGCTATACTGACACATGGCTTAATAGAGATTGAGATTGTGTCGGCACACCTTAGCTAAGGGTATTCTGTTTACATGTTAAAATTATAAACCATAAATGTAAATTTTAACATGCTATTTGCTGGAGTTGGCGTTTCCACAAATATATTATGGAGTCAAAGTGCTCCAGCTATTCACCAGTAGTGATCCAGATAAAAGTGTTGTTAGTGAATATAAAATAAATGATAAAACAATAGAGAATTAAAGGTACAAATTCTTGTAGTTGAATTTCGCATTAATGTATTCTGATATATTCATCACAACTATTAAGACCTGTTTCTGTTATGTGTACTTTTTAAAATAATTTTCATCCTAGGTTCCTACGTGCTTTTATTAGGACCAAATTTCACAAAGCAGTCACTGATGTTGTTCATTCTCTTCTTTTTACAGGTGCCATATTACGAATGGTTGCAGCTGAAAAGTGACTACCAGAAACTGTCATATTTAAAGGATAAAATTGGGAAAGCTGTGGCAGAAGACATGGCCAAGTGAGATGGACAGAGATAGTGCAGGCTCAGCTAAATTAGAGCTTCCCCGACTCAATGGGGACCACAGGGAATACACACAAACGCCCACGCTCACAGCATTGCAGAAAAATACCGGCTCATATTTTGTTAAGGGAAGAAATATAAATATATATATGGTTTTGGTTCCCCTGGCAACGTGTGGGGCTTTCCCTGTTTCCATAGAGATGATGAGCAAGAGGTTTAGGAGGCAAAGAGACCGAAATAAACACAACTGCAAGTAAAAATTATCTTATCAACTTCTGCAAGAAAGTCAATGCAGAATCCTGTAGGTCACTGGAAAAGCTCGATCTTCATTTCTTGGATTGTTAAACTATCAATATAAACATGAATTGAAAGCACTGACTGTATGATGAAATAAAACATTTTATTGCATTTCTGAAGATGGATTCTGTCGTTGTGTATCAGGCATATGAATACTGAAATTAAAAATGAAGTACAAGAATTTGCTTCACAATAGAGGTGAGCAATATACTGTTATAATTCATGATATTGTGAATGTTTTCATATAAAATCTGAATATTGGATTTATTGTTTGTAGTAGGAAACAATGTCCAAATGCAGCTGAAATGTTTTGTAATTTTTTCAAACAAGCCTATTAATTCGTATTATTCATATCTTCTGTGGGTAATTTCATATTTGTCTTGAAACTTAATTAAGGTTTAAAAATCAGTTTTAATACATCTACAAACAGCACATTTTTCTGTTGCATTGCCAAAAAAAATCACTCCTACTACATTTATTACTACACTAAAATACTGAGATAAGTGTTTCTGTCAACATCGCCCACCCCATTTTAGACTATTCACAAATAATCTTTATTTAACATTTTAGTAATACTTTATATTAATGTGATGTAACAAAGACATTTTTAAATTTATTTATGTAAAACAAGGACGGTGCACAGAAAACATTAAAGATGCTCTGTGCCAGATTTAGCTACAAGCTCCTTTCCATCTGCAGTCCTTGGGCAGGTACAAGAAGTGTGATAGGTGACAGGTGATGTGATAGTGAGAAGATTCTTTACATTTTCATCATGTTGAAAATCATGAAAAGGGCATTTGAGATACATTAAACAATAATTTTCACATTCTCAGGAGCTTGTTGGCTGCTTCTCTCCTCCCTCGGGACTCACCAGCTCGATTGATTGACAGCTGCCTGACACTCTGTTAGCACTTCTCGTATTGAACTCCTTGGTCATCATGGCATCTTCTGCAGATGGATCAGCAGTCTCAAGGCACAGAAGGCTGGTCCCATTTTAAAACACAATTGTTCTGTTTTTATTTGTGTATTTTTGGAGGGCAAGTGTATTGCACAGCTGCTATTGGGGAGGAATAGGTTACCATGGAAACGTTGCTTGATGCTCCCTTGAGATATGATAAAAGTTACATACATGCCTTTACATTTTTAAACGTACACTGTGTAACGTTTCCGGTGAAGAGTCAACAGTTTTATTGTTTCAGTGGAGATGTTTTTTTTTTTTTTTTTAACCTGTGTTTATTTATTTATTTATTTAGTTTGCAGTAAAAGCACCTGTAAATAAATAAATACAAGTTATAACATGTGACTGATCTACCACCAAAAAGGTTACATAGTGCGCCTTTACATGTGTTTCATTTTTCTTTCTCTGGTCATCACTGCTTTGATTTTTGTTGTTTCACTTTTGTCTTGTTTTTGCAGTACTGGTACTTTCCTTCAAGGTTGAGGGCAGTACTGAGAGTAGGACAGTGGAAATCTGCTGACATCATCTCTCAAGATCCAGTTGTATCCTGGTAGAGAGACGGATAATAAAGATGAAGAGAGGAGAGAAGGGAAGAGAGAAGGAGGGAGGGAGGGAGAGAGAGAGGAGACGAGGGAGGGGGCAGTGAGAGAGTACACTGCGGCTCACCCCTCGTTCTCTCTGTCTCTCAAATGGACTCAGCATCACAACTGCAGCAACACCATAGCCTCTGCCTCCGCTCCTTTTTCTCTTTATACCCAAACTCATGGACAGTCACGTGCTCTGATTCCCCCTCTCCTCCTCCTCCTCTTCCTCCTCCTCGTCCTGCCTCTCTCTCTTTCACTCACTGTCTGCACGGCTGTATGTTTTATTGGTGCGTCAGAGCCACACAGAGCCAAAGAGTGAAGCATGCCCGGGGAGAGCATCCACAGATCTGGCCCCACCGACAAACACCTCGAGCTGGGAGCAGAGGACGCAGAGCTCCCTGGACCAGGTAGGACTTTGGGCTATAAGGTTGTTTACTTTCAGCATGTCTTTATTGTGTTGACATCTCATACATACGCCATGATTCAGCAGCACTTCAATGCAGGCTGTGTCACTGCTAATATTATGCTCTCACAAGTCTCCACCCATGTCCTGAACTCTGTCTCTAAAATCCAAAATCTAAAGTAACAGTTTAATTTCCCCTATTTATGTTCACTTACACGAAACCCAAACACTGACATGACTTCTCCTGTTGTGTTTTTGCCCCATCCCTATCCTCATCTTCAGAGCATATTCACAGGCGGCTTGGGCAGTTTTCACTCTCCCTCTCTCCTCCCTCACTCCCTCTCACCTCTTCCTCCTCTCTCCTCTTCCTCCCCCTCTCCATGAACATGACACAGCAGCTTGGCAGTGCACTGTATGCACATTTACTGATCAAGAGCCGCTGTTATTGTTCGTAAGTGCTTAATCTTGATATCATTTCAATTGTGGAAGGTTAACACAACACTGCCTCAACACTGACATTACCAAACCAAGTATTTATTGTCTACTTATGTGTCCCTGTGTTGATTTTTTTATGTGCTTGAGTGCTTCCTGTGGTAGAATTTTGGAAACAAGGATTGTTGGTGGAAATTGGCAACTTTGTTATTTACCTTGGAACATATTTTCTCATTTGTGCAATGTTTTGTGTGAATTGTCCTTGATAAATTCATCCAAATTCAACAACTGAAAGCTGCTCTAGTACTGTGTGGTTTGTTGAGAGTAAATAATTCAGACTGGTGTTGTTGCCGTTTTCCCTTGCAGTTAAACCAGAGGCTCCCTTCAGGCTGGAGTTGCAGATTTAGTGACGCAGCTTCGGCCAGTGCGCTTTTCTGCATCCTGCTCTTTATTCCAGCCAACACTGTGTCTGATTTGACTGCCTTTCCCCAGAGAAAATATACCCAGTCCTGAAAAACAACAAGCTCCCTCTCTCTCTAAACTACGCTCTATATGCACCAATAGCAAAAGGCAGAAAATGGGTGCAGCATATTGCCTCTGAAAGAAGGACAGAGCTTAGAAAAGAAAGTGAATTACCAAGTGATCCTTAGCTCCAGGGAAACAGGAAGTATGTGTATTTGAGGGTAGCATTGAGATGAGCTGGTGTGTGATAGAAGCCAATCAGCATTTGAACTGAGGTCATATGAAAGCAATGGCCCACTTAAAGGTTGGCTTTGTTATCTGCCTACTGCAATGAGCAGAATATTGATTGTAAAGTCATTTAAGCTCATATATAGCACTGTGAAAATGACATTTGGTTTAAGAATGACAACACTGTATTCGTATCACAGTATCACCTGGGGGATTACTCACTGTTTTATTACAAATCCTTCCATTTTATGTGGACCATTATAGGGTGGCTCTGTTACATGCTTACTGCAATGACGAAAATACAGATTTATGTACAATACAGTACTGTGTGTAGTATGTAAATTGGTTTGAACATGACAACATATTTTAGTATCAGCCCATGGGCTAATGTTACACCTGACCATGTTGTAAATCCTTACACTCTGTGAATTTGTGCTATAAATTTGACTTTTTTTTTTTTCCCTAAATGAACATAAATAACATCAATATACTATTGTCATAAAGGCTAGAAGTGGTTGGCTTGTAGGGTGCCGTACCGGTGTTAAATTTAACTTTCAATTAAAATTTTCAACAATTATTTAACATGTGACCTAATATGATTTTAGCTCAAAGAATGTAAGAGCAGTGAACAGTGTAAGAACTGTTGTACTGTACATTGGTTGCTTATGGAAATACATTTAAGCCAAATTATTATAACTCATACTACTAATCATACTACTACATAATACTTATAACTTTTTTCGTCCCAACTAAATGTCAGGCAGTCACATTGTTGCTGTGCTGCCTTTAGGGGTAAAAGGACAGAACATAAAGAGAGTGCATGTTTACTTGTAGCATTTGTAATTCGTAACTAATGCAGTCTTATCCTCTCCTTTCCTAGACTTAACTAGACACTCCTTGGCGGACTCTACACCAAGTGATAGTGGATCCTCTCCGAGTGACACTGGCTCAAGTCCGTCCCCAAGTACTCCTCAAAAGCTCCTCCCAGCATGCACCTCTCCCTTCGGCCCCAGGTTGGTTAATGTGAGTCGCAGGTCCTCAGAATCGCCTCGCCCACAGCCCGAGGGCTCAGACCGACGACCTGCTCCCAGGCTTTCCGGGAAGTTGGGAGGCCATGGACCATGTGGGCGCCATATTCCAGTTAAAATGGAGAGGATCAAGGTGTGTGATTGAATGTTGTAGAGGTTAAAATACAGTTGGAAACATTACCCATAATGCCCAAACTTTAGTCTCTATATTGGCAAAACTTAAACTTAAGACTAGCATAGCAGATGACATACCCTTCAACAAAAAGGTTACATAGTGAACCTTTAAATATATGTCACTATTTCCTGCTAAACAAGTTTTTATTCTTTATTCTGAATTGTTACTACTGCACTTTTATTTTACAGTCCCAAGTTACCTTTACCCAAAAACAGCAACTAAATTAATATTCTTTAAATATGTTGTAATAATTAATATGTTGTTACTCGCTGATGTTTTGCATAAATAATATTTTGCTTTTAGGTCTTGACTGGTTCAGAAGTGGAAAGCGACTACCAAGAACCACATAAAATGGACACAGTGGACACAAGAGTGGTGATGGGTCAGGAGTCATTGCTCAAAAGTCCAGAAAAACAGAAAGAGAAATCTCAAACTACAACACATCATCAGTCTGTTCCAGTAACTCGTTTACATGAAACAGAAACTCACACAGAGACAGACAAAACTGAAAGCCAAAGTCAGCCGCACCAAAACTCCACTGATCCACAGCCTCCTGTGACTTTCCCCTCCCCTTTCCTCACCCCTCTGCTCCCAGCCTCTTCATCATACACAGACACCTCTACCCCAGATGACGCTTTAGGAGAGCAGGCTCACTCTCCAGATGAAGTGCCTTCCCTACATTTCTCCGAGCTCGTTTGCCCTGTTACTTTATCCTTCTCCGAACCCATATTTGCCGTGGACCCATTACGAGTTGGTGTACCCTCATCTCGAGACCCCGACTTGTACTACACCGCTCCGTCCACCCCAATCAAAATGCGCTCTTCCCACCTCAAACATCACTCATATCCAGGGTCACCTTCCTATCCACTCTCTCCTGGCTCGCCTTCAGATAGTGAGGACCTATGCTCTCCCCTCACTTCTTCCTCTGGATCTTATATGACGGCGGAGGGAGATAGCCGGGCATCATCTTACACCTCCTCCACCTCACCCTCCACCTCACCCAATCCCCTCCTCACAGAAGAAACGCAAGAGGCTCCCGCTTGCTTTGTCGGATCCTTATCAGAAATAGGAGATGAAGATGGTGAGGATAAGGTTCGCTCGACACCAGAAAAAGAAAGCAGAGCTGGAGACTTCTTCCACTGTAGATCAGAAGAAAGTGCCTATATTTCAGATATAAGTGGAACGGCCATTTTGGAGGAGGAAGAGAGTAACACTGAGGAAGAGATCAAGGTTTCAAGAGAAAGCTGTCGTCCGAGTTGGGTGACTGAAGATATTTCCCCTCTAAGAAGTAGTAGTAGTCGTAGTAGTGACTCCCAAGAGGATGGAGCAGAGTCTGAAGTTGAAGTAACCGGGATGGGGTCAGCGCAGTACTCAAGATCCCTTGGTTTAAAACTGCAGCTAGAATCATGTTCATCAGAAGAAACATATGGACAGAAAGACTCTGATTTAGCATCTTCAGCATTAACTCCCGATACCATAACCTCAACCAATCTCAGCCCCGACTCCCCAACAATCTCACTGGACGCCTTCGAAAGACTTAACTCTGGGTTGTCCATGCTTTCCCAGGCGGCTTGCAGCAACAATATCCTGGATGATGACCAAATGATTCCTGCGTCCCTTCTTGGGTTCCCCCCTCACGCAAATCTCATCTTCAGGGCGGATTCGATGGAGATCATGCTTTTCCCCACCGAGGAGGAAGTAGAAGACATAAACGAGACGAATGACGCTTACGGAGCTGGAGAGGAGGAAGCTGACGTTGATGAAGATGACGAAGACGACGAAGACTACGGTATTGAAAGTAACGATTGTCTTGACGATGAGCTTAGCGAGGAAGTGAATCAGGAAGTGAACCAGGAAGTGAACCAGGAAGTGAATGTAGAAGTGGAAGTGGTTGGGGAGGAAAATCAGGGCAATGCCGATGATGTTGAATGTGACGAGGACGACGATGACGATGACGATGATGAAGACTCAGACAGCAAAGGACATGACTATCCAACAGATGAGGACAGCTCCTTTCTCCACTCGCTTTCTGAAACATCAATCAACGAAGGCTTGGATGAGTCTTTCTGTTACCAGGACGATACGGATGACTCATTGGATTCTGCCTCTTTTAATGGCGAGGAAGATGAGCGTGTGTATAGCACTGAGCAACATGCACAAATACAAGAACCGACAGAAACTCAACAAGGTGATCACAATCCTGAGCTCAATACTGATACAGAAGTTGTTGAAACTTCTGCAAGCTCATGTCAAGACGCAGAGAGTCTGAACCAGTCTGAGATCAGTGCAGTTTCAGAAAAAGAGGGCAAAACCCTAAATGTATCAGAAGTGACGCAAGCCGAGCAAGATCTAGTTACCGATAAATCCTTGCAAATCAACACGAGTCCAGATGACACACTGAGTGCTGAAGAGTTGTGCTTTCCATCTAGTGATTTGGAGAACTCTACTCCCTTAAATGAAAGTGTAACTAAAGCTGAAATTGATATGTCAAGATTATCAAAACAATCTTTCTTATCAAACACCACCAATACATACACTACAACCAATGTCATGCAAACGTTCATGCCTCTTGGTGCTACTTCTGTAAAATGTACAGAAATGCTGGATAGATCACAACCTTTGACTTTGACAACTGAGGCGAAGGTTGAAGAAGTTGCCTCAAAACCTCAAGAAGTCATTGTACAATCAAATAACAATATTACAGAAGAAAGTACAGATGAACCAGAAAGAGATTCTTATAAGTTGCTGATAAAACCTCGTCAGTTTCAGAAAGAGAGGGCCGTGGAAACAGGGAGGCTATTGTTGTCCAAATCGTTTGCTAATCAGAAGTACGGTAACACTTTGGAAGAGTCTTTGACCTCAACTGCGACCAATGATTTAAACAAAGGACCATTACTTCTATCAAACCCAAAAGATACTAATACAAACCCTAGCAACATCCCTGTAGCTATTACTCCAGAGGTCGTAACCCCATCCTTAACCCCTGAACATAGGTCAAAGGATTCTACCCAAGAGAATCTAAGAGAGAACACATTGTTGATGACCGATGAAGGGATTCTGGGTGCTGTTGGGTGCTCGTCGCCCTTGGCAATTTCACCTAAGAGGGAAAACTCCGAAACAGATATTAGTCATCGAGCTGGGACGTGGTGCGATGAGAAAATAAGCTTACAACTTGGTTCAGGGGATGGGTACAATATCTGGGCAACCGGACACTCTCTTGGGATGACCTTGTGTGGTAATAGCAAACAACTGTGTGGGGATCTAAGCAACAATACAGGGCAAAGAAACTACAATGTTTTTGACTCTGTTTTGGATGAAAATGACAATAATGGACATATTCAAAAAAAGGATGAAATGCCAGATGAGGGATTGCCAAGTCAGTTCAGAATATCAGATCTAGGCGGTGAAACAGATGATAGTCTTCAAACACAAGAAGAGACAGGAAATGTAGATATTGAAAATACGTTTACTTGGAAGGATTGTCAGAATAATAATGAATTTGAAACACTGCAGATATCTATGTGTAGAGGTCTGAATGCATTGTCAGAAGAGGTTAGAACGCAAAGTGTTGGTTTAAGAGAGTCCATTTCCAATATTCCTCTTGAAGAAAACCCACAGACAAGTCCGGAAAAGAAAGTAGTAACTGAAAGTCAAACCGTATGCTTAGAGGCAAAGTCAACATGTCAAAATATCCCACACCATGAGCCGAATACAGCAATGTCTTGGCTCCAAGGGTCTTTTGGTTCATTCACCCCGAAGTGTAAGTCTGTTGAATGTAGATCAGTCCAACAAAATCAAATGGATAATAATGATGAATCTCAGGGAGTAACTGAGAAGGACCTCTGTATGGAAGTCCCCAGTGGACACAATGCAAATGAGAAAGTTGTACAACATGAAAAACCAAAGCCTGATGATGGTCAACATTGTAAAGCAAATGATCCGGATGAAAGAGAAGGAACTGATACAGAAACAAATATGTCACAAACTAGTCATAAAAAACCTGGTAAAAACAGGAGGAGGGGAAAGCAGAAGACCAAAGCATCACAGAAGGGTAACGGGACTGATCCAAGTCCTGAGGCGAACCAAGACACAAACAGTTTGGTAGAAGTTTCAGACAATAACAATAAAATCCTTCAAAGTACGACAGAAAAAGGGTCATTGAACGATAACTGTAAGACACCCTCTAATCAAATGCAGGAACAACTTGACAACCAACCACTGTCTTCTAATCCAAGGTGTAACACGGTTGACATCAATGACAACAATGTAGATACCAGCCATTGTTCATCAAGTTTAAACTCAACATCATCAGCATCAGCTAAACCAGAAGACAATCTCCCCACACCAATCCAGGAATCACAACCCTTCATTTCAGAGGAATGCACTACCCCCTCTCCAAATCTTCCAATACGCAGTTATCAGGAACAAAATGTCTCCTTGACGTCAATATCACCACTCAACCTTTCACAACCAACGCAGGAGTCGTCAGTGGATTCAAATCTACAATGTGACGCCTTGTTCACCTCCCACACCACTGCAATGGCAACGAAGGTAGAAACTCATAAACAAATCAAGCAAGAACAAGTCAGATTGATTGGTGAGTGTCAAAAATATACATCATTTATAGATTATTTGAATATTTCTGTTTAATTATGTTGCTTTATTTTAGATTCTGGTCTGGCTGAAGAAGATACAGACAGTGAGGATGACAGCAGACTGCCTCGACACAGACCACAGCCCAAAGGAATTGTGGGAAATAAACTTGACCATAATGACTCAAGGCAACAAGCAATCCAGCCATACACTTCAATGATGGACCGACACGGAGGATGTCCTGTCAATCACGGCTACAGAAACTCAGATCCATGTGACCTTGCTCTGAAAAACAACTGTGAGTTCTTGTTAGAAGCCTGTTTTAGTTCTCTGTTACAGGCACCATTTGGAGGACTTTTGACCATTAAAAAGATGAAATAGTTTGTTTTTAGTTGCTAGTTACAGACTTAAACTTATTCCTAAAGCAGTGACCTTACATGCAGAAAAACTGAAAAGGCGTAGGCTGAAATGTGTGCCAGTAGTGCCTGCCTTTATATAAAAAAGAATACGGCAGTTGTAGAAATTATTATCACTATAGCGCTAAAAACATCAGGTTAGAGTTTTCTTTATGTGTATTTCTTTCATCAGTAATATCAACTTTCTCTAATATGAATGCATCTTCTTGTAATTTTCATTTTTCCTTTCAAGGTTTGACTTCGTGTAATGAGTCTGAGAGCGAGGAGTCAGTTCCAGAGCTGGAGGACGCAGAGCCGATGAGGCCAGAGCATCATGTGAGTCCAGTCAAAACACTCTTACAAATTGGATTTTTATCATAATCTTTGCCAATGCATTTTTGTTGCTTTCTTTCTTTCTCTTTTACAATGCAATTAACCTTTTGGCCTTCACTTTTCAGTCTTTCTCATCTGCGAGTGAAGGGCTGAGTCGACCCAAACAAAGCCGCAGTGAGAAGAAGGCTCGCAAGGTTGGACACATAGCAACTGAAACTGTCCGATGTAGTTCATTTTTGATATTTTTTCAATTAATTTTTGCTTCTTTGTTTCACCGAAGGCCATGTCTAAACTAGGTCTAAAGCCAGTCCATGGTGTGACAAGAATTACCATCAGGAAGTCCAAAAGTATTCTGTTTGTCATCAGTCGACCAGATGTTTTCAAAAGTCCTGCGTCTGATATCTATATAGTGTTTGGAGAAGCGAAGGCACGTTTATATTCACCTTTTTATCCCCTCTGCATATTTCTCACATATACAAACAATAATGATCTTTCATCAGATTGAGGACCTATCCCAACAAGCCCACAAAGCTGCTGCAGAGAAGTTCAAAGTTCCTGTGACATCCACTCCACTGGCCCCACCCGTCCCTCCCAGGCTCAGTATAAAAGAGGAGAGTGATGACGAAGAGGAAGAAGAGGTAACTGGTTATTGTTTCTAAAATATTCAAGATAAATAAGATTTCAACAACAGGCATCAACAGTTTAACTAAAATATTAAAATAAAAATAAGAAAGAAAAATTAAGATACTAAAGAGAGTAGAGTAAGTACAGTAAAATACAATAACAATTTAGATTCGCTTGGAATAAACCCACAAATAAACCAAACTAAACCAGGAGTCTGAACGCAACCTAAAGTAAGTAGAGTACAAAACTTGTATGTAGTGCAAATCTGGCTAGTCTCGTTTCACAAAATCATATTATTATTGATTTAATTATTATTATTATGGTTTTGACATTTTTTAAGCTTATTACCCAAGTTTAGTTGTATTTTTGTGGTTTATTATTATACCTCTTGATTGAAAATGATGACATTGTAACCTTTTGTGTTGTTCAGGTGGACGAGGGCGGCCTGGAGCACAGGGACATCGAGCTGGTCATGGCTCAGGCCAATGTGTCTCGGTCCAAAGCTGTCCGCGCACTCAAACACAACAAGAACGACATTGTGAATGCCATCATGGTGAGAAAGAGGAGGGGCAGAGGCATTACCATGAGAGGGAGGGGGCAGAGGGAGAGGGAAGGCATTAACACTTGACAAACCAAGCTCATAAAAAGAGAGTTTTATATTTGACACACACATTCAGTTCAGCTGGGACTTTGGTCGTTTGAATTTTCTACACAACATATTACAGGTCTATATATTATTCTATAATAATGGTTCTCTAAGTTTTCTCACCAAGTACCAAGTAAGACCTTAACTGACCTTCTGGCTACCACCAGACATAGGTCTACTCTACTATCTATTTCATATATTTTCATATATGAAAACATGCTTAGTTTTTAATTTCCAGTGGCTACTGTAATATTAATTACTGTATTCATTATTATCTTATACTGAAGAGTAAAACATTTTGTCTTGGGCACTACATTCATCATTTATGTTGTGAAAATTTAAAATGGCTTCATTTTTAGAATAATAGGAAGAGCAGATATGTAGCAGACAGCAGGTCAATTATCCTGTCAAGGCTAAAGGGTAGACCAAGGGTAAATGTCAGATAGTGGTGAGTCATGGAGCAGTAACCTTAGCTACAGGGCAGTACAGTAGATCCCCACAAGATGGCGCCAGGTACTAACTGAACTACCTTTTTTGTTTTCAGGAGCTAACCATGTGAGAACTCTTCCAGCCAAAAGCCTAAGACATCTCTTCTGTTTGGTATTGCTGCTATTATGTGTTGCGCCCTCAGTATCTGCTTAATAAAATCTGTTTCATTGTGAATAACTTTTATTTTAAACATTTACAAGGAAGCCTATAAATTCTAATGTTAGATCAAGGCTCTATGACAAATAAAGAGATACTACATAATATATTTCGCTTTTAAAATTCATGAAACTTTTCTGGTGGAGGGTCCGCCACCGACCATCTGCTTGTGTCTGTGGAGATGATATTGTGTTGCCTGGAATGTTCCATGTGGCCTTTAGCACAAGGCCAAGTTATATGTCAGACCTGTGGAAAAGTGAATCAACTCACAGTATTTTGTGAAACATCCCAGGCAAAATAATATCATCTTCATGGACACACACGAGCAGACCCTCAAGCAGAAAAGTTACACAATTTAAAGCATAATTTATAACTTACCTATTCTGTTTTATTTTTGTTTTCTATTTGAGAAGTAAAAGAAAAATAAACTTCTTTTGTTTTTGGCACTTTTTTATTATACAAAAGTAGTTAAAGCCAGAGTACAAAACAGTGCAGGACAAGAGATGGCGATAATTCATACAAAACATGTTGGTTAAAAAGGTCATTTAAGTAAAATATGACATAATTTAGTGTATTATTACAGGCTCTGTGTAAACATTTTTGCAAATCCTGAAATGTTAAAGCAATACATAAATACATTTAGAAACATACTGACTGACCACACAACTCTGGGTCAAAACACACACTTTTGTCACTCGAACTCACCTACAAGACTCATTTTATTAGAATACTTTCATTGCTGCTTTTTGCACTAAAAGTAAAATTTGCTTAAAGAGCAAAGCAAGGTCATCTCTGCTGCCTTCACTGAACTTGAAGGGCAAATTTAAATGCCATCTCTAAAGTGCATGTAATATCTTTAGAGAGTTAGAAGTGTAATATATCAAAGCTAAAAGGTGCTAAAAGTTTTCTGGTGGAGGGCACGCCACCTGTTTGCTACGGAAATGTTACTGCATTGTCTGGAAAGTTCCACAGTATGACATTAAACTGATCCATCTCCTTGGAGGCAAGCATATGTTTAGTTTATATGTCCTACCACGCCAAGTTACATGTCAGATCTATGGGGGAGGAGGAATGCACATTTTCACTGTATTTTTGAGAAATTCAAGATACTGTACAATAGTTTAATGCCAAACTGTGGAACATTCCAAGAAAAGCATTAACACTTTCATGGAAACACATTAAATAGTCCACTTTTAAATGCCCCACCAAACTACTTTGCTACTTCTTTAGTCCTTAAACTGAAGTGGTTCTCTCCCAGTTTCACTGTGCAGTTGCCAGTTACACGTCCAGAGGCTTTGGTGGGGTGTGTGTTGCAGGCAGGACGTTGCTTTCAAAGTGGCCCTGGTTCGTTATGTTCCCTGCAGGAAAGTATCTGGCAACCACAAACGTTGAGCCATCTTGAGCAGTGGCTTTACCCACGCCCAGCTTCTTACTGCTCTTCCACACCATGGCAGTGAAGTGACCTGGGGAGGAGCAAGACCAGGAATGTGAGCTTGTCCCATTTAACAGTTTAAATATTTATACGTGCAAGAATCTCTTTGCTTTTCTTAAACTCTAATCTCCATCACATTAAACGAATCAGCGCAAGTTAGGTAGACTCACTATGCACAGTATCACTTGGAAAAAAAACATACAATAAAACCATAGTTGACATTACTCTGAAAGGACAACTGATCTGAGTAAATGAGTACGCACAGAATTGTATTAGTATTAGAACACTACAGTTTGCATGAAATTTAAGTTATTGATATAGTTTTTTTTCTTAACGTTGTGCCGATGGACTGAAGATTTCTTATTCCAAGAGACTTTACAAATCCAACATGTTTTAACAAATATTAATAGCCAAAGAAATGTGTGTAGTGTTGTTTTTGTTTTTGTTATTGTGGTTTTTTTTTGAGTCCATGAATTGAACATCTCACCAGTGCCTGAGGAGAATCCTGGACGCTTGAAGTTATATTGTTTTACTTCGTCGTACCAGCGATCTGTTACGTCTTTACCTGAAAAACATACACAACGGATTTATTAATTGTGCTGGGTCTGTGTAGAGTTGGAGTAGGTATCAATACCCGGGCACTAATCAATACTACAAGTGGTACTGAAACTAGATACTACTATTAATGATTACGAAAAAAAAAAGTTTTATATCAGAACATGACCAAGTGGTAGTAAAGTAAGTATAATTATTTACTAAAAACAGGTGTGGTAGAGAAATTGGTATCCAGTATCAAACCGTTGTAATCGCTGAATCACAACACAGCAATTTCTTACATTTTTTCCCATTTCAGTCTCTCTCTCTGTTGTCATACTGGCTATGTTTTAATTTAATCTTTTTTTTTTTTTTTTTTTTTGTCCCTTCGTAGTTTTCTTGACCCATAAGCTGCACTCTGAGAAGCTGTACGGTCCCACACTGCACATATTTGTTCAGTGACTCATTCAGTCTGAGAGCTTAAAGTGGAAACAGGCCCCAGCGTCTCACTTTGAGTCATTCCCAACAGTAAAGACGTAACTTAAGGAAACTGCATTTTACCTGACTGATCATAGGACGCCCAGGCCAGGTTCTCTCCACAGCTCCCTCTGGTGGACTCAACGCTGTGTTTCAAGATTCTTGTGCTTGCCAAACTTTCTGCATAACTGTGTAAATGTAAGTGTAAATGATTATTTCAGTTTAGTGGAAGTGAATCCTGAAAGTCCTGGATACCAAAACCAATCAAGTATTTTCTTTGTGTATAGAGCTGCTCTGGGATAAAGCAGGCTACATATATAAATATACTTGTTAATGTGAAAGTGAATATCAAGTTAAACAATCAAGCAAATTTACCTCAAAATACAAAGTTTAATGTGTCAGGATATATGCTTTATAAAACAATATAACAAAAAAAAAGTCAAAATGTGTAAATCTTGATAAAATGTCTAACAAAATATGATCATTAAAATTAAAACAACATGGCAAATTCTTCAATCCCCATGTGAATATGACTGACTCTGCTAATAATTGTTACGCAAGAAAGACAGATGTACCTGCCTGTTCGAGACATGTTTAGATCTGACAGATGCTGACTGTAGACTGCTAACATTTTACACAATAATTCTGTGTATTAAGTCATTCACAATGTATTATGAGGCAGGATGTCTTACTATTTATTCTTTCTAGCAGTGACAGTATTATAGGCTGTTATATTGCTGGCATCTTTGGACCTACCGTGTTGCCTCTTTGCTGATTTTGCTGCTCAGTTTCAGTGGAGGAGCCTGGTGTTTTCTCCTGTACTCATTATGGGAGTGGAGCAGCTCTTCGGCAAACTGCTTGGAGGCTGTAAAACAAAAGACAGAGATTTGTCTATAGAAATGAGAGCTGAGCTAAGCACATCCCTGCCTGCCACTCGTGCTTGTCACTCACTCTGACACAAAGGACCTATTTAAGAAGATACTGCTCCAGAAGAAAACCTACAAGACTTACCAGCAGCAAATAGGAAGAGGAAAGGAATCTAATATTTTACATGCTGGCATAAAGCATGAAGAAATGGCTAGAAGAAAAGCATGTTTTAGCATGTTTAGCAAGTCCTAAGGGTGGATTTTTTTTTACTTACCTGACTTCCCCATTGCATTCACCAAGCAAGAGGCGTGTAAGGTCTTAAAACCTTTCTTCTTCTTTCTTTCTCTTTCACTTCCTCTTAATCCTGATATGTTGAAACAGCTGCTCAGCTATATTAATGACATCTGATCCCTCTGAAGTAGTTTCATTCTGCTGCATCCAACCCTGCGCAGGACCAGGAGAAGTATGAAAAGCAACCCACAAATGAGAGGGGACCCCATGAGGTCACTGCTGACATCATCTCTGTGAGACAAATCCATAAAAGGCTGCATTGTGACTGTGCCAGATGGAAGTAAAGAGTAGTGTTACTCGTAACAACAGGAGTCCACACAATCTGCTCTGTCATGGTGCAGCGTGCCAAGAGTCTGTACTAAAAGTGATAAGAGGACACATGCTGACAATGTAGGTCTCCTCATCAGAAGTTTCCATAGCTGTTGTTTCAGAAGTTACACAGATTCTAAGATTACACCTTATTCAACCAAACCTAAAGGTGTATTATGTAACTTTAATTGTGGGGGGTCCAGTATTTGCTAGTCTCCATAGAGATGCTTTTGCCTTGATTGTTCTACAGCAGTGTTTCCCAAACTTTTTTCTGGGGACCACCTTTGCGAACCAAATCAATAGACATTATTTGTAAATCACAAAATAAACGTGGATTGAACCATTATTGAACATTAATGAGGATATTTTATTGTTGCCTGAGTGCTCGTGTCTCTCTGAACTCAAGTTAAAACATTGAAAAACAGTTATTAAACCAGCAATAAAAGGATCCACAAGTCACATATTTGGACAGTAAATGTAGCCCATTTCTTTTTCTTTTCAACATTCAACTGAACCAGCAATATTGGAACAAAATAATCAGTAAAATAATTACAAAAAGATTAGAAATTGTACAAAACATTTCTTAGCATTTCAACATTTCTAATGAGATAGGTGGACCTGTCTTTGTTTTTGTAGCTCATTCCAGTCCAGGAGCGCAGCAGCAGGTCAGGAGCAGCATTCAGTTTGTTTCTGTGCTTTGGATTCATTTTTCTGAGCACTGAAAATCCCAATTTACACATATATGTAGTAGTGAAAGGAATAAGCCTAGAAATAATGGCCCTACTGAGTACAAGATATTGTGATAAAATGCTTATCCAGAATGATGATAATATATTTGCTGACTCACTAGCTCCCTCATGTGTCAGAACTGTATACTGCAGACCTACATGTAAATTGTGACAAGGCGACCCCCCAAAAAATCTCTTGCGACCCACCTGAGTGTCGCGAACCAGTCTTTGAGAAACAATCATCTACAGTATGACAATGCATGTATCAATACTGTAGGTGTTTTATTGCTTTAAACATATAGTTTTATTGTGAGTGAGTGTTTCTCAACAAATGTGACTTGTAACTTGAGAGTAGCAGTATGAGTTGGCAGTTCTATCATCACCAGCAGATGGCGCTGTTACACTAGCTTGTCCAGGTCTTACTCTGAAGCAGTACGCACCGCCTCCTAGTGGGAAAAATATTCAGAGGTCTTTATCCATCAAGTTAAAAGCACACATGACCGGCTTTAATATTTTATGACTTACTTTGATGGGATAGTAAATGTGGTAAATATTTATTATAGTTTTACATCAGTTAAGTGGAAAAACTTGAGAAGAAAACTACAAAATACAGGAAGAGGGCACATTAGCACATTTCATCCAAAATGCAGGAATAAACTATGCAAAAGGAGAAAACAATGATTTCACATTTGTCATTTGTTTTTATTAGTCTATTGTGTACATTGGATGACGTCTGGCCATTATTAACATATGGAGGCTGAATATCAATTTTGGAAGTAGCTCTCTGTTAGTCACATCTGGTGCCCATGTCCCTCCAGGAATTAAAATGATAAACTTCACCAAAATACAACATAGAAAACTATGAGCGAAATCTGAAATATAACTAATTAACTTATTAACTAATCTAACTAATAAGGAGTCTAGCCAGCCATTCTACAGGAGCGTTGGCAGAAGTTGGCGGGGATGAAAATGCAATGATTGATACATCTCCAGTCCCCACCACAGCTGACGCCGAGACAGGCACATCCCCATCCTTCACTGTGCTCACAGGCTTCTCCTCCTCGACATGAGCTACAGAATTCTCTCTGTGACATATTCATCACTCACAAAAATAGATCACATTACTTTTATGGAACTAGGACATTTTATGCAAAAACCTCACAAATGGATAACCTTTCATTTTACTGTACATCTCATAACTCCAAACTACCTATGTATTTTGGTGCAGCCTTGCAAATAAAATATGCCCTTTTCCAATGCCCTTAGATTGTGCAGGTGATTACAGTATAAGCGACAAAGTGCCGCATGCAAACTGCTCGGTGTTTGCAAGTACAGAGCTGTGGCTAACTGGATCAGGTCCAGACTGTAAACTTTATTATCATTTGGCAGAAGTGGATAAATCAAAATAAGTGCACTGCCGCTGCTACTATAGTTTGTGAGATACATTTTCAATGCACAGTGTATATGACAAGACATAATGACAAGACATAAAGCCTCAGTCGCTCTATGTAGTTCATATTGTCTGAGATTATAAAGTATTGCACAACAACAGCATGCACTTGGTCTGAACTGGGTTCAAACCTCAACTTCTGGAATCGTGGACAAGCTCTCTAACCCAGACATGTCAAACTCAGGCCCGGGGACCAACTTTGGCCCGTAATATAATTATATTTGTCCCGTGAGATCATATCAAATATGTATTAGAGCTGGCCTGCTACAGATAAGGCTATAGAGACATTGTTTATTTAAATTTTGTTTATTATTTTATATTTTGCTTGTTCTGGATTCAATGTTTAAGCAAAACTATTATTAAACATTTATTTTAATAAGAAAAGTTTAACATTACATATCTTGAAAGAAGAGAAAACATGCAGATTTTGTTCGAAAATTTTCAATACGTATTTAGTTTGGCCCATGACTTTTAATTTTGACCCTCTGTGAATTAGAGTTTGACAGCCCTGAGTTAAGATGACTTGAATTAAGAAAGTTTTATCATTATTTGAGTAAATTTCACTTTACAAGTAAAATTATCTGCTAGTGGAACAAGACTTTTTATAGTTAAAATATGAAAATACATCTTGCTACACAAAAAAAAAAAAAAAAAAAACACTTAAAATAGTAAAATGTTCTTAATTTAAGTTGCATTTTAACATACCTAGATATTGTTTATTTTAAATTTTTATGTTTTTTTTTTTTTTTTTTTTTTTTTAGTGTACAAATCAGAAAAATCTTAGAAATAAGGAAACATAGGGCTGAGGGAACATAGAACTGACCCCAGACATGTGATGGGTTTCCTCTGGGCGCTCCAGTTTCCCCCATCAACCCAAAACATGCTACAGGTCTCCAAGAACAACTGATAGTCAAGGTCAGTTAAATACAATCAATTCAATCATTGTGTCCTTAGGCAAGGCACTTCACCCACGTTGCCTAGTATGAAAGTGGTGTGTGCGTCAGTGATGGTGGTGGTCGGAGGGACCGTCTGTCAGTTTGCCCCAGGGCAGCTGTGGCTACAACAGTAGCTTACCATCACCAGGTATAGAGTAAATGAATAATTCTGAATAATGCTCTGTAAGTGTCTTTGTGACAAAAAATGTCTGTGAAAAGCGCTATATAAATAAAGACTTACCATTTACCATTAGTATAATTAGCTATATTGAAAAACAACTCCCAAAAGAAGATTGTGTAATTAACCCTTGCAAACTTAGAAATAATTTCAACTACAACTGCAATAATGCCTCTAGCCACCAGGTGGGACTATGATCTAAGGCACTGAAGCTCAGCTCAGAGTGTAGGCTCCTCTAGGATGTGCAGTCAGAGTGGCTAATGACATCTCTCTTTCAGACCAGAAATGGACATGATGGGATTCATGTGAAAAGTCGAGCCACTTGATTTCTCATTAGCCGGATAGTGCTAGCTTAACAAATTGATTTCCTCTTTTCTTGCTCCTACCATCTGCCCCGTGATGGGACTGGACAGCTGCAAGACGACATTTACATAGTAGTCTCAAGACGCACCCTCTCCACAGCCATACATCTCCATTCATACTAATTGAGCTGGCTGAGAGAGTATGTGCTGGGGGAGAAGGAAGAGGCTTGGTGCTTTATTGTAATTTATGAACATAGCTCTTTTTCGAGGGACAGCAGACATTGATCCATGCTGTTATCATTCATCTGTGTATAGGCCTAATCTACTGCGACTACGGATATTTGTTATACTTTATACCCACTACTTCCTGTAATTCTTGACCCAGTTTTGACGATGTTCAAGTGTAAGGAGGTCATCTCATTCTTTGTCTGAATAATCATCGGTTTTCTTCTGCTAGTGGTGTGAAAGTAAGATGCGAGCCATGCAAAATGACTGAAATCTGAGGTGTGTAAGTGCACTTAGCTGCATATAATTCCTCTTTAGCGCTCCCGGGAGGACGGTTGTGGACTTTTTAATAACTCCTTCCGTTCACCTCCATCCTTATTAAGAGGTCTAGAAGGGTTGAAAATGGAGAGAACCACGGCGGGGTAGTGGATGAGGGGATTGATCTTAGCAGAAGACAAGTGAGGGGGAGATAGCATTTCTTTTTTGTCTTGTTCCAGATTCTGACATATGAATAAGGCTTTTATAGAATCATTAGCGTGCCTGTTCCGCTGAGGATGAATTGAATCTGCCAGGTTAAGAGGAGTTAATCGCCTGCCAATCACAACCCATCATGCCCTTCCTTCTTCTGCTGGAGCGGCTATACAAATCTCATCATATTTACAGGGGACTTTAATTAAGCTGAGAGAGAGGGGAAGGAGAGAAGGCATGACGGCAGCAGCAGACGAAGATAGGAGTAGACAGTAAGCAGTAACAGGCTGACTCCCTTCTGACACTAAGCAGCACAAATGTAATGTCTTAAAAGGCCATCACAGTCAATAAAGTTCCTAATGTGCTTAAAGCAATTAGAGCGTCCGGAGAGGAGCAGAGTGCATGCAGGATATTAACCTCTGTAACCCTCTCTATCTGCGGTATAATTCAATTATCTCATATCCTCCTCAGTGAAAACTGTACACACACTCAAATGCTCAAGTAAGTTTTGGTTTTAGTAAGTCTGGCTGGAGAAAGAGAGAATGAAATGCTTTTCACAACACGAGCCAAGAGTTGCGGGATCTTGACAGTAAATGACCATGCAGTTGCAGTATCAGGGGGTTTCCGTTTCTCACGATTTCATCACAATACGCCACATATGAAACGTATTGGAGGCACATTTTTAGAATTAAACTCAACCAAACGAAACAGACATCAAAGTCAAATCTGATTTTTGCTAAAGATGTGATCATTTTGGGTGGGGATTACAAAGTCACTTCAGGTATAACTGAAGTCATAAGTCTATTAAAAGACTGGGTAAATTTCAATTTCTATGTCTCCTCCTTTTGTCATTTTAAAAAAAATGTTTTACCTTTGGTTCTGACCTAGCCTGGTCAACCAAGACCACATGTTTTTCTGTATTGTAAAAAGAAGTGTAGTCTGGGTCCTGCTCCTATAGTCCAGTTCGAAACACATTGTCTCTTCATATCAAAACAAATATGGCTGCTAATGAGGAAAGACACATACAACTGAAACAGATGTAACAATAACTGAAATATCGCAATATTCTATCATCAAAATTCTCACAATAATATCGTGGACCATCACAATATATCAAATTACAAGTCTCTTTGCTTAAATTAAGAGTTATGCAGCAATAGTTAAAAAAAAAAAAAAGACAAAGGGAACTACATTGACCATAATCCTTTGCTCCATTTCAGTGTAGACTACATGAAGAAATAACAGTTCTAAGCACTTTTAAGGCTTCGTTCTTTGGATTAAGTCTTGTCAAGGCATTTTAAGAGGAAAAAGTAACATATTAACAGTTTGTTAGCCTCCAGAAAATATCGCAATAAATATCGTACCGTGTATATCGTATAGGTATATCGTGAAAATATCGTACGAGAGATTTGGA